GGGAGGAGGGAGGAGGGAGGAGGGAGGAGAGAGGAGGGAGGAGGGAGAGTAGATGGAACTTGCACAGTGAATTGATTGAATGTAGTTGTTTTTTTGCGTGTAAAAGGTTCCCGGCAGGCCGTCATGTCATGGCTGAAGGGAATATCGGGGGCGATCAAAGCAGCTGTCTCCTCTTCTTCTTCTTCCTCCTCCTCCTCCTCTAACACCACCTCGTCGAAGAGCAAGGCTGAGCTGTTACGCGACCATGTCGTCTACCTTCGCTCCTTCTCGGAGACCACCCAGCAAGATCGGGCGAGCGATTGGGATAAGCTGTTGATATCCTACAGGTTCGCTGCTCCTGCTCAGCTTCCATCTGCCTTGTCCTGATATTGACCGTCGTTCCTTTTGCAGGATACCAGAGGAGCTGGACTCTGTCCTGCAGCTGCTAGAGGACGAGAACCCCTCTACTGAGAGCATACACCAGGGGTCCTGTATGATGTGCTTCCTTGAAGAGAATGTGATGGAGCTTCTGAACGATCTCCTGTCGCTCAAGAACTCAGTGGGAGTCCAGGTGATATCGTGTTGCTGCTCGCATGTTTGCTCTGAAACTGGACATGTAGAAGACAGTGATCAAGACGGTCATCCGCGCGCTCCGTCTGAGATATGAACTGGTGACCTGACTCTGTCCATGCACTTCAGCGCCGCCTGACGTTGTTGACAGTTGGACAACGGGAGCATCGCACGGCTGGTGATGCATATGGCGCAGGAGCTTGAGTACAGCCCTCAGAGACAGGCCTTTGCTCTGGTACACTGCGAGTTGCTCTACACTCTCTGCGACAAGGTTTATCGGAACCCCGCCTCCCTCCTCCCTGTGGTGATCAACGAGAACGTGAACACGGGCGGATTGGGATGCGAGTTCTTGCTCTTGAACTGGTCTATCCAGCACCTTCAAGACGCAGCAGGAGGGGAGTATGCGCAGAGGGGGATCCTAGCGCTGCTGTCTATCCCTGACCACCGGGTCACCAACGCGGTTGTCAACCATTCTGCGCTCATTGAGAGGGCGGTGAGGATGGTGGACATGGGATTCCAGTCAGCCATGAAGACGATCGACTCGCTGGCTCCTGGGTCGATGGATGAGGTCGGGTCGAGGAGGAAGCGCCCGGACCCAACGCCCTTCTATGCTTCACTTCGTTTCGTGGACCATGTTGTCAAGGTGGCAGACATCCAGGTGGCCAACAGGCTGCTCGACATTCTCGATGCCAACTTCCTGCGTCAGACGATGCAGCAGAGGCTGATCAAGGGATCCGAGGTGCAGCATGTCGGGGTCATGGAGCTGCTCCGTGGACTGTTCGAGCCGGATCCCATGTGGATCAAGCAGGGAAGGTATGGGAGGAGACTGCAGCAGCCCCAGCTGATCGGGATGATCGCTCACTCGATCCTTGATGTCTCCTCTCCTCGAAGACTCTCCAGCAGTGCAGATGCGGAGAATGCGAACCTGCGGGCGGCAGAGGCCGAGGCACGTTCGAGCCCCTGCTCGCTGCTGCAAGTCCTCGTCGACAGGATAGACTCGATGAACGAGGAGGAGAGCTGCGCTGCCTTGGAGCTTCTTCTGTCCTTGTTGGAGCTCAACGACTTTTGGGTCGTCGATGCTCTAACTCAGATATCAAGGGACAAAGCTTGCAGAGCCTGCATCGGCGTCCTGAGATCAGATGCGTTTCAATCCAGCACGAGGAAGTTCCTTGACTTTCTTGAGACCCTGCAGCAAGATTTTGACAAGGTCGATGAAGCAAACACGCCAAATGCCAACGAGACGAGTCAAGAGGACGCATACAGGAAAGACTCGATCAAGCTGGTCAGCAGTTGCTTCCAATCTTGCGGGGAGTGGGAAACAGAAGCGATCCTTGCTCAGAGTCCTCCCTCTCAAGTCGAAGAGCAGCAGACTTCTGTTTTCATCTCAGCTGTGCTGGCAAAGCTCTCGACGTTCTTCACGAACTCATGGAGGGTGAATCTCGCGCTGTCTGGCATTGTCAGCCGTCTACTTGCCCTGCCCAGCTTTCAACTTCAGTCAACTCTGATTGGCGGGGAGGGACAAGATGGAGGCGACATAGACCTGACCAACGTGCTGGAGAAGCTCAACAATGTAAGTAGAGGCCCGCAACAGACGAGCGAGGGAGTGAGCGATTGTGGCAGGAAGCAAAAGTCAAATTAGCTCCAATTGAGAATGTGGAAGAGAAAGTCTCGAAGGTCATACTTTGAAGTTTTCTGCTGCCTCTTCTTTGAACCTGCTTTGCACAGAAATGGGCGGAACTAGGAAGGGGATATCATTCTCACGATCTCAATTCTTCAGACGCAGAAGAAAATCGTGACAACAACTTTTTCAGGTAAGTGTTTGATGAACGCGTCACGTCTTCTAATGTGCGCATTCGATTGCAGTCTATTCATTTTGATGCGAGAAATGCGGGTTGAATTCAAGACAGTGTTGGAAGCAAAGCTGATCTGCTCGAAGGTGAGATTAATGTTTCCCTTTATTCAATACAAGTTTGTTCTTTGTGTAACAATTCAAACAATTTTTACAGGCACTCAGGTGAACAATACATGAGTACATTAAAGAAACACGCAACACATACATCGAGCTCAGTCATTTCTGCTTCCTCCTCGACATTCACGCCTCTGTACAACTCAACCTACGTCAAACCTACAAGGAAAAAAGCGCACACTGCAATTACAACGAAGGGCACACTGCAACCGAAGAAGCTGTAAAGCCTTGAAACAGTCACTCGATGTCTTTCAGCTCAGGGAACAGACTCCGATCTTCACTCTCCGTCCTTGTTGCATTGTCCTTGACGCTGGCGCTCGGGACTGTTTCGTTGGAATCAAATTTACCCATCATGTGGTCAATAACTTCAGTGTAAATAATGTCGGAGAATGACAGATAAATGTCTTCATCGTGTTCTTCAGGACTTTCATCAGGATTGTTGCTCGGGGTCTCGCTGGTCTGTGAATCTTCCTGACTTGCAGCTTCACCCTCATGCTTCCTGAAGTACTTCCTTGTGTAGGGCCACCTTCGAAGCCCTAACTTCCTGCACGCACTTTTCAAGCATGTCAAGGAGATGCCGATTTGCCTTGCTGCTTCACATTGAGGAATGTGGTAGTACTTTTCGATGAGCTCTTGATCCAAGAAGAGAGGGCCAGGTGTGACGTAGTAAGAATCCTTCTCCTTCTTTTGCCGAGGATAGACCACTGACATCAGCCGTAGCACTAGACAAGAAGGGATAAGAACTAGTTGTAGCGTGCGTGAAAGGAGCAGGAGCAGGAGCAGGAGCAGGAGCAGGAGCAGGAGCAGGAGCAGGAGCAGGAGCAGGAGCAGGAGCAGGAGCAGGAGCAGGAGCAGGAGCAGGAGCAGGAGCAGGAGCAGGAGCAGGAGCAGGAGCAGGAGCAGGAGCAGGAGCAGGAGCAGGAGCAGGAGCAGGAGCAGGAGCAGGAGCAGGAGCAGGAGCAGGAGCAGGAGCAGGAGCAGGAGCAGGAGCAGGAGCAGGAGCAGGAGCAGGAGCAGGAGCAGGAGCAGGAGCAGGAGCAGGAGCAGGAGCAGGAGCAGGAGCAGGAGCAGGAGCAGGAGCAGGAGCAGGAGCAGGAGCAGGAGCAGGAGCAGGAGCAGGAGCAGGAGCAGGAGCAGGAGCAGGAGCAGGAGCAGGAGCAGGAGCAGGAGCAGGAGCAGGAGCAGGAGCAGGAGCAGGAGCAGGAGCAGGAGCAGGAGCAGGAGCAGCTTCGAGATAAGGAGGTTCAGGTGAAAGTGAAGCAGGCGAAAGCAGGAGGTAGTAGGAGCAAAAATAGCAGTATCTTAAAAGCCGTCCCTCTGGTGTCATCGTCGTTCACGTTCCTGCTGATGGTCACGGTACCAGGCGCAATGGAAAGCGTACAGGGGGTACAACCATGCAGGGATGGATTTGGGAGGGTGATCTCTGGGTTAAGTCAGGGGCTAGGGAGGGGTGACCTATCTAGGAAGGTTTGATTCTAGGGGGTGTAGGTGGCCGCGGATAGTGCTGACTCCCCTCGTGACTCCTCGGGCCATCATAGGGATTCTAAAAAGGGGTTGTACAGCAAAGCCCCTCCCCCTTGGCAGGCCTCAGAAGCGATCCGATCTGTCCCTGTGTATCTCTTGCTCCACCACCGGGTCCCTTCAAGTCCCCACCCCCTACTTGCTACCCTCTTCCAGTCGCAACAGTCACGCCCTGAATGATGCCCCCCGGTTGCTAGGGCAGGGTGCTAACGGAGTCCTAGCAAATGCGTAGGGATGCGGCTGGGAATGTGCGAAGCAGTCAATGATCGGATGATCAGCGTGTCAGCCCCCGCAGTTATCCGACGGTCCCTTCGATGATCATGCCAACTAAAGTGAAAGTTACAACCACAAATTCGACACTCCAAAGCGGCTGCGCTACCCGGTAGTGTGGACCGTACTCTGTTAAGTTAAAAATCAGTACGTGGACAATCAGGAGAGTAGAGGCCGGAGGCTTGACCCTGACACTGTCGAGATACAACCCTCATCCTGCCGATTGCTGTCCCCCAAACTTTGTCGGAGAGACTTGACTGACAATACCCGGTTTACTGTATTGCGCGCCCCGGGCCCCGCCGGGTAGTACCAGTGCGGCCCGCCAGTCCCGGGGCGCCCGGGCGGCGGCGGGCGCCGCGGCCCAATCATCGCTGGGCCCGGAGTCGCCGCCGCTGGCCCGGTTGTGATCCACGGAGACGGTCGTCTTTCCGAGGCTAGTTATGACTCCATAAAAGTCTTACTCCATGCTGATTGATTTCTGATATAGAGTGAAGGTATCAGTCACTCAAGTTTGGGGGACAGCAGTTGGCAGGATTAGGTTTGGTTCTCGCTGTCTTTTCTCTTCTCGCCGTTTGGCCTGTGCGACAGTGTCAGTTGTCCTCGTACTGATTTTTAACTTAACTTTGAGTAAAGGATTTACTCTATGAAAGAATCATAGTAGACCCTGATGGCTGCATGAACTTGAGTCACTGACTCGTACTTAGCACATCTTCGACGTTTGGCATCCTGCCAGAAGCTTTCACTTGCGACTGAGTCTCAAAATCGAGTTGAAGTGCCATGGCATCCAGGTCTCGTTCCTCTCATGGAATACATAACACATCGAGTCATTGCTCGGCCTTCCAAAGAAAGCAAGACAAGCAGGCTTCTTCAAGCACGTCCACACTTGCTCCTCGTCTGTCATGAGCTTCCCTAAGCCTCCCGTCGCCACGATACTGTTGGGAGAGGACACGAGTTGGTACCAAGTCCTCACCTCCGTACATCGGTCGACGTGAGTGAACATGTTGCTTCGCCAAGATGGGACGCTCTTCCACGAGTCTGAAGAGTCGCACATCGCACCTTCGCAGAGCTTCAAGTTCGCGTCGGTGCGAGTAGAGGGCGGCCAAGAAGCGTGATAGCACGCAAGAGCATTGTCCCTTAGGTCTACCTCGGCATCGTGAAGGTTGAGAATCAAACTTGGCAAGCAGACTATCTTGTTGTTCCGCAAGTTCAGATACTTCAAGCTTGAGACCTGTTGGAAAATCTGCGATGGAAGGTCTGATAGCAGGTTGTTCTGCAGGTACAGTGAGCGCAAACTTGGAAGCCCATCGAAGGCTTGCGATGAAATGTCTTTGAGCATGTTGTCGTTGAGATCGAGAACCTCCAATTTTTGCAGAGCTGAAAAGATTCTGGGAGGAAGGTAGGCAAGTAGATTGTTGTAGATATTGAGATATTTTAGGTTTGAAAGTCCATCAAATGCTCCATCAGCAAGGCTGGCAAGGTCGTTGTTAGAGAGATACAGTGTTTCCAACGTCGATAGGCCGAAAAACTGTCTTGTAGAAAGCTTTGTCAGCTGATTGTTCAACGGTCGAGAAAGAGGGACTTGAGATTATGAAGACTTGCAAACACATCGTCTGGGACATTGCTCAAGTTGTTCGTATGGAGATCCAGATATGTCAAGTTGGTGAGATCATCAAACATCTTAGGTAGAAGACGGGAAAGCTTGTTGTTGTGAAGATCAAGGTGTTGCAGGTTGTAAAGACCTCCAAATGTTGCGGCAGGGATAGCTTCCAGAAGGTTATCATAGAGGTTGAGGTCGAGGAGCTCAGGCATTCCATCGAAGACACCCTCTGTCAAGTTTCTGATGCCTTTGGAGGAGAGGTAGAGCGAGTGACAGTCATCAGCACAAGAACCTTCCCTGTATAGCATCCCAGCAGCCGAGACGTTGAAGGTACAACCTCCGCAAGTCCAGTTCGAACTCGTCGGCGTGCCGGCTGGAGATTGCGGTGTAGGGATCACGTATTCCTTGCATGTTGTCGTGTCGTTGGCGCAGAGCGGGAGCCCAGGGTCGACTTGTACCGCAGAAGGCCAGGTGGAGTGACGGCAAGGGATGCGGTTGTTGCGAAGGTCGATGACTAAAGCTTGCTGCAGGTCATTGAAGGCATCAGGGGCTACGCAGTCGAGCTTGTTGGCGTACAGGTACACATACTTGACTTTGGACAGTCCTTCGAACACGCTTGAAGTAAGACTTGATATCTGATTGTTGTCCAGATGCAATTTGTCCAAGTTTGACAAACCGCGGAAAGTCCGAGAGGAAAGTCCTTGTATCTGATTCCAAGAGAGCTCAAGGTACTGTAAGTTGGTTAGATTCTCAAAGCTGCCTGGCACAATGTCTTGAAGCTGGTTACTGCCCATCATGAGAGATCCCAAGCTCGTCTGGTCGCGGAAAGTGTCGCGAGCAAGACTCCGCAGTTTGTTCATGCTAAGCTCAAGGTACTGCATATTTGAAAGACTGTGGAAGACATTGACAGGAATGAAATCAATCTTGTTGTCCAATAGATAAATGTCGTGGAGTTGGGTTAATCCTTGAAACAGTTGTTCAGGCAAAGTTGAAAGCTGATTTGATCTGAAACCAACTGCATACAATGTCGAAAGTCCTTGCAGCAGTGCTTCAGGCAAACTTTGGAGCTTGTTCTGGAACATATACAGGTAATAGATATTAGACAGAGAACGAAAGCTATTCGCTTGCAAGCTTGACACTTGACTATTATCGAGTTCAAAGCCCCGCAGATAGTTGAGAGTGTTAAAAACTCCATCTTGTAAGGATTTCACGCGGTTCATGAAAGACGGCTGAGTCAGTTCGACCCACCATGTGCAGCCGCTGCCGCACGTGCCGTTACGAGTGAGCACATTGTCATCCACAATTGTGAAGATGCATCCTCCACAAATGACTGAGTTGGTTGTTGTAACATAAAGCTCCTTGAGGTTTGTGAGCTTGTCGAAGATTCCTGTAGGCAGGCTGGACAGTTGGTTGTCGTATAAGAAGAGATACTCCAGTTTGGTCAGGTTGTCAAAAACTCCTTCCCGTAAACTCGTCAGTTTGTTGTAGTACAGATCAAGGTATGTCAAACTCGTAAGGTCGTCAAACACACCGTCCGGGAGACTCTCCAGCCTGTTCACTCGCAGGGCCAGGAACTGAAGGCTGACTAGACCATCGAAGACGCCGGGGGGAAGGCCGGTCAGCATGTTGTCTCCGAGGTTGAGACTCTGGAGACTTGTGAGGCCATTGAAGGCGCCAGCTGCTACGCCCTTGAGGCGGACAGAGGTGTAAAAAGAATCCAACTTGAGGTTGTTGCAGTCTGTCATGCAGCTTCCCGTATGGCCGATGAGAACAGCAGCATCTGAGATGTGGAAGACGCAACTTCCACATGACACGTTGGTTGTGGCTCCTGCCAGCACCAGCAGATCTGCATGGAGCAGGAGCAGGAGGACGAGGACCGAGCGGCGCGAGCGACTCTCAGTTAGCATGATCAGTTGTAGCAGCCGGGCTCCCACCTGACCGAAGATCGTATCACCACCTCCGCAGACCCCTCTTTTCGTGGTGCCAAGAAGGGGTACAGTACCGTTCTCCTAGCTCGGCCTCTTGGACCGGGAAATTATCCCCGTTCGAGTTCTGTTTATTTTCTCAAAATTAAGTTAAAAATCAGTATGAGGACAATCAGGAGTTTACTCAAGGTTAAGTTAAAATCAGTACGAGGACAATCAGTAGATTACTCAAAGTTAAGTTAAAAATCAGTACGAGGACAATGAGGAGTTTACTCAAGGTTAAGTTAAAATCAGGATCTCTAGTCACTGGGCCGATCAGTGAAGGGACCGGCCGGGATTTGACTGCGCCGGGCCTGGAGCAGGCCCGAGCGGTCGCATTAAGCGAAATGCCATGGACGCGCATGAAGCACTCTGGAAGCATGTAGCAGCGAGGAGCAAGAGAATATGGAGCTCGAAGATGAACACGAAGTGAGTTGACGATGAGAAGCAAAAGAATGATGCTATGAAACCTTGTTCTCTGTGGCTGTGGATATTCCTTTGCCAATACAATGTACTGGTTACCTCCTATTACCTGCGAAGCATGAACACTGGTCAAGAGGAAATGCCTGGTGAGTTCGACCTCAGAAAGTTCGCAAGACCATCGCCATGGATGACGTGTACGGACCTGAACGAAAGGATTCAGCCCAACGGAGCAGTCCTGAGCGACGACGAGTTGATAAGGCAAAGAGACCCTCACTACTGGGAACGCGACGACCCCCGCGCTGACAAGGAGCTGGGCTTCTGGAGTACCGACATGAGGTCCTTAGAGCGGCTCTACGGAAAGGTATTTCTCCCTTGTGCCCAATGAAAGTGATTCTGACCTTGAACCCCCCAAAGGCTTTTGTGCGACCAGAGTACTTCGAGGATGAGTACTTGCAGGGGAGCCGCTGCAAGACTGCGCAGGCGGAAGGCATTGCTCCTCCCTCAGACGCGTTCATGTTTGACGACCATTATGAGAACGATCCGATCGTGTGTTGACTGGGAGAGAGTTCGCAAGAGTGACAGACATTGCAGGTAGACTTTCTGTTTGAGGACGGGACTCCAAGAAAACCCAGACGGTGATGTTGCAAAAGTTCTCCCACTTTGCCTTGAGCATCCACTTACCTGCCCTTCTTTGCTACAGAATCGGACAGTTCCTTGACTTAGAAGGACAGATCGAGACCGATCCCGACGGAAGTTTCACAGGTGGAACAATGAGAAGGTAGGACGGTGCTGAGACATATACAGGCAAGCATATCAGCGATGATCTCCGATGTTGCAACAGCATGAACTTGTTAAGAGAACCTTGGGATACGAAATCTCTCATGGTATCTACTCAATCTGATAGCGTCTTCCGTTTCAAACAGCTTATGTGGATCTCATTCAACCAACGCTGTCCCTGTATGTTGGTTTGACTGGTCGTTTTGAAGTCTTCAATGTTGGTGGGATGGGATCATGGTGACTGTTTCACACGATCTTGGCGTGTGGTCGTTCTATCTTCTCATCTTTTGTTGTCTTTCGGTAGGAGGGGATGGAAATTCCCATCGGGCTGTCGTTGCGAGCAGTTGAGGAACACATCAACATCCATCCGATCGTTAAGGCAACGATGTAACATCCCTGACTGAACGAACTTCCTTGTGTCCGCTCCTGCTCCCGCTCCCGCTCCTGCTCCTGCTCCCGCTCCTGCTCCCGCTCCTGCTCCCGCTCCTGCTCCTGCTCCTGCTCCTGCTCCTGCTCCTGCTCCTGCTCCTGCTCCTGGTTCTCTCTTCCCTCTTTATTGTTCTTCTCCTCCTTTTTCTCCTCCTCCTCCTCCTCGCCTCCACCCCACTCCTCTTCCTCGTCATCTCCGTCTTGCCTGTCTTGACCCCGTTCCTCCGCTTCCTCCAGCGAAGATACAGGGCATGACCCTGATCCCATTGTCTGCCATAAGCCAGAAGAGGTGTTGATGCCGGAGGAAGAGCGGATGGGTGAATATGTTGACAGCTGCTGGAGTTGCGACTGCAAGCTGCATGCGAAGGGCTGATCGAGGTTCCTTTGCTCCCAGCGCCCTTCCCTTTCGTCTGACTTTCCTCGTTCTCGCCCCCCTTCCTGATCATTCATCTGCTCTCCTGGCCTTTCCTTTCTTTGGGTCCCCTCCCCTTCTCTCCTTTCTTTCTCATCGCTGCATTTCCCTGCTCTCGCCCTGAACTCTATGTGCCGACCTCGACGCTTCTCAGAAATTGGACGGAACCTTCGAATGGGACAACGCGGACTCGATCCGTCGGAAGATAAACGCGCTGGTCGCTGAGGTTTCAAGATGCTCTGTGAGAAGCGAGAGGGTGGATGATTCTTTTACCTGCAGGGCGCAGACATCAACTGGTCGGACGATTGGGGTTGGACGCCCATTCACTGTGCTGTTGCCAACGGGAACTATCCAGCAGGTAGGAGGAGGAGGAGGAGGTGGAAGAGGAAGAGGAGGAGGATGGAGGAGAAGGAGTTGGAACAGAAGGAGAAAGAGAGGGAGGTGCAGCTCTCCATTCCGCAGCATGGATGCATCCCACGGGATCCTGCTGCTCCTGCTCCTGCTCCTGTTCATATTTCCCTTCCTCGTCTGATTTCTCGTTACAGTGGCTCTCTTGTGCGAGTATGGGGCTGATCTTGAAATCACTTCCCGGTCTTTTCAAACTTTCACCTTGTTCATCCTCTTGTGACTTTCAAAATGACCAGGCCAAGAAGTTGGACAGTTCTTTTCCGTGCGGCTCACCGAGGATACCTGTGATCGATCTCTTCATAGCTCCCCCCCCCCACTGATTTCGTCTTCTTCCTTCTCCTCCTTATATCCTATTTATCGTTTTCCTCTTTCTGTACTACCCGCCCCCCGTCGCTTCCTCGCGTCCCTCCTCTGACTGACTCTCCTCCTCTACATGCATCCTGTCCGCCCATCTTATTTCCCCTTGTCGCCTCCTCTTTCCTGCCTCTCCCTCTCCCCAACCCTCTCTCCTCCCTTCCTTCCTGCTCTTGTCCTTGCTCGTCACTCATCCGTCCTTCAGGGAGATTCTCGAGACTTTGCTGGTCCATGGGGTCAGACTCGCAACTTCCTTTGCGTCCTTTTTTGACGAGTTTGTCAACCCCCACAGGCAAACCCTTGGCACATCGACGATGCTAATTTTACAGCACTTGAAGTCAGTTCGTCTCCCTTCGTGCCCTCTCCCCCTGCTCTTTGCTCAATCCTGCTGCTCCCAAAACTGCTCCTGCTTCTCCTGCTCCTCCTGCTCCTCCTGCTCCTCCTGCTTCTTCTGCTCGTACTGCTTCTCTTATCTTGCTCTCTTCTCCTCTCCTCCTCTTCCCCATCTCTGTTGCCTCCTTTTGTCTTGTAAACGTCCACCCTCCCCTCGTACTCACCTTGACAACCAGGTCGCCGCCCTCTACAACAGCACCAACTGCATCCCCTTGTTACGAAACTTCATGGGCGAGGAGGCGAATAACATTGACCTCGATCAGTACATGCAGGAGACGTATCCTACCCCGCTCGGCCCCGGGCCTGACATCTCCCAACCTGAAGCAGAGGGATGGCCGCTGAGGAGCTTTGAGTACGTATTGAGGAAGGAGGACAAGGGGAAGTACGGTCGCTGGACAGACAAGAACGCGACGGAGGAGGCGAAGGAGGACGAGGAGATCTTGAGGATGAGGCAGGAGAACGGGACTTGCATCTGGGTCGAAAACCCTCTCGATGTTGAGCTGCCTTACCCCGAGATCAAGAAAATTTACCCCGATAACAACAACAACAGGCTCCTTGTCAACTGGACTGCCTACGACGAGTACGTGGATGGGATTGACCATCATTTGAATGACCCAACCTTGACCCCTCAAGCCCAGTACCTCCACCGTCTCACCCATCAGGGGAAGATCGACTGGTTCGACTTCTCTGTCTTCAAGCCCCACCCGGACAAGCACACGAAGACAGAGGTTATGTTCAACAAGCGGATTCTTGACCCCCGGACAGACTTCTCCTCCATCCTCCAGCTCAACTTCGGCTTCGAGCCCGGAGAACAGCCTCCCAGGAAGCTGTGGAGGGGGTTCCCAGAAGGAAGACACTGGCCCTTCTTTATCTTGTACCGCAATGATCCTGGCACGGTCCTGAACCTGTACAACTGGGACAGGAAAGAAGGGGTCAATTGGGAGAAGATAGACCAGGAAAGATGGACCGAGGAGGAGGAGGTGGAGGAGGCTGGGAACTGCCCCCGACCCGCCCTCTACCTGGACTACGTGCGGCACACCAAGGAGTATATAGACATGATTATAGACCAAGGGAAGGACATCCCTCAAGGACGAGGGATCATAGTCGACGTCTTTGGGCCTGACGGGCTGAGCTGCGAGGTGGAGTGGGACCGGACGAGACCCAACGGAGAGTTTGCGGGGAAGAGGACGAGGTGCTCGGTCGGAGCTGGGGGAGTGTACAGCCTGGAGCTGGCCAGGTTCGGGGCGACAGCAGAGGAGGACTTCTGTGTGGTGAAGCTGGAGGAGCTCCGGTTCCTGGACAAGTTGGAGGAGAACTACCAGGGAGACGACGCGATGGAGGAGCATCGCCGGCTGATGGTGATCAAGGAAAGGATGGGACAGTACATGGAGCAGATGGGGAAGGCGATGGGGAAGGATGTGGAAATCACGCCAGACAACTGCTGGCTGTTCCAGGGCACCACCGATGCCTACGTGACGAGTAGGAACGATCCCTCGGGGGCGATAGGGGAGGAGGAGGAGGAGGAGGAGGAGGAGAACCGCGATCACTACGAGGACGAGGACGAGTTGAAGAAGCTGTTGAAGACGCAGCAAGGTGGGGGGAGAAGAGGGAGAAGAGGCAGAAACTGGAGGAGGGGGAGAGTGAGAGGAGGAAGAAGAAGCGATACTAGCAGGCTCACGTTAAAGCTTCTAAGACTCTTTAAGACCTCCGTGGCCCTCGCTTACTTGAGCCAGACTGCAGTGATGTCGCGCAGAATCGCCTCCTGCTAACACTGTCAGGAGGGAGAAGAAGCGAGGGGAGGGAGAGAGGGAGAGGGAGAGGGGGAGGGGGAGGAGAAAGGAGGAGAAAAGAGTATTGGAGACGCAGAGGCACGGGAGGATGGAGGATAGAGGGAGGGAAGGAAGCGAAAGGGACTCGCAAACAGGTCTTTGAGTGCAAAAAAGGTGGAAGGAGGCAGTGGGAGAGAGCGGGGAATGAAGAGGAGGGGAAGGGAGGTGAGAAAGAATTAATGAGAAAAGGAAGGAGAAGAGCAGAAGGTAGAAGAAACGAGAAAGGCGAGGAAGGAGGAGAAAAAGGAAGGAGGAAGGAGGCAGTTGAAGGGCAAGGGTAGGAGGACAGCAGGAGGAATGGACTTGCCTTCGTCCTTCCGGCGCCGCTTGTCTTCACCTGACTCTGTAGGTTCTGCTCCTTCAGAAAAGCGCGAATCTCTGCTAAGGTTGAGGTCTCTGCCGCATCGATCAGCAGTCCGCAGGAGAAGGGGGAGGAGGAGCGAGGGGAGGAGGAGGAGCGGGGATAGGAGGTGTCGTTAGTGAGAAGATAGGTGGGGAGCGGGATGGGAAGGGGAGGGGTGAGCGAGGGGAGGAGCAAGAGGTGGTGATGGTGGACGAGGAGGCAAGCTCCGATCAGAGGGGTGGAAAAGTCGATCGCAAGGTGGAGTGAAAGGACCTGAGATTGGAAGGGACGGCGCGGGAGTCGTTGCCTTTGGCTGTTTGACCTCTGCAACAGAAGAGTGACTTGGCTGAGAGGACAGGAAGAGAAGAGAGCGGCTAGAAACCCACACTCCGAAAGAGTGGAAGAGAGAGGGGAGGGGAGGGGAGGGGAGGGGAGGGGAGGGGGGAGGGGAAAGGGGAGAGGGGAGATAGGAGAGGGATTGTCGAAGTGGAGGAGTATTTCTGAACCGAGTTTTGCCTTCACATCTTGAGCAGCAGGGTTTTGCTGCTTCCTCGCCTCTGACTTGAGCTTTTCCTGCAGAGGAAGTTGGCAAGGAGACTGGAGCAACGGGCGTTACCCAAGCAGAAGTTGCTCGATTCTTGACAGTCTCGTCCTCCTTCACGTGTACCGCTCGCACATCCAGCGAGGCGGCGCTGCGTCTCCTCGTCAGCGAGCTAAGGGAGGAGGGGAAGAGATGCTGGGAGGGAGGTGGGGGAAAGGGAGTGAAACAGAGCTGGGCAGGAGGAGCAGGAGCAGGGGCAGGAGCAGGAGCAGGAGCAGGAGCAGGAGCAGGAGCAGGAGCAGGAGCAGGAGCAGGAGCAGGAGACGAAGATACGAACCGAATTGAGTCCTTCTTATCGCTCCACATCTTTCTGACGTAGTTGGGGACGAAGAGCATTCGAAATCTTCGAGGACGTCAGGCAGAAATTTCAGAGTTGAGGATATAAGGAAGGGAAGGGAGGAAAGGAAAGGGGAGAGAACAAGTGAGGAGGAAGAAAAAGAGAACTCAGAGGAGAGAAAGAGCAGAGTAGAGGGGTAAACTAGAGGAGAGGATAGGAGACGAAGATCGAAGAGGAGGAAGATGGGGAGGAGGACCAGAAGGAGGAAGGGGAGGAGGAGGAGAAGGAGAAGGAGGGTCTTACTTGAAGTCGTTTCGCATCCTGTCATGAACTCTCCAGAGCTTTTCTTTGAGGTCCCAACTGAGACTGACGTCCTT